TGGACAGGCTGGGCCCCCCTGCGATTGCTCCTCTCCTTTCTCTTCTCCAGTATGTATCTTGCCGCCTCGCCTCCTCATCCATACTGTCCAGCCTCATCCCCCTCGCCGTCCTACTCGTCCGCCGCCTCCTCCTCCTCCTACTACTCCTCCTCCTCCTGATGATTCTCATCCTCATCTTCCTCATCCTCCTCATCCTTCTCATCCTCGTCATCATCTTTCCCGTGATCCTCGCCCTCCTCATCCTCATCCTAAGCCGCCCCTTCTCGTCGTCATCGCCGCCGTAGTCGCCCGCGTCGCCCCGTCGAGGCCTTGCAGGACTTCGACGACGACCACCCGAAGCTTGAAGGCATGGGCGGATCGGGCGCGCGCAGGGTGGATCGGAGGATGGGAGGATGTGAAGGCGTAGGATCGGATTGGAGGGTACGAATGCGAGGATGGGAAGATGAGGGCACGGATGCGAGAATAGGAGGATGGGAGGGTACGGATGCGAGGATGGTAAGATGAGGATGGGACCTCGACGACGACCTTGACGACGACGATGGCAGCCACGGCCTCGTCGACGACGACGGCGTCGACGAGGGCGACGGCGTTGACGAGGGCGACGGCGTTGACGAGGACGAGTGCCTCGGCAACGGGGCAGCGGCGACGACGACGGCCTCGGACGGAATCGACGGCGACCCTCCCCTTCTCCTCCTCGCAAGCTGCAGGCTGCGACGACGGCGTCGACGAAGCGTCGACGCTCGACGCCGAAGACGAGGACGGCGGCGCCTCCCCCCTCAAGCCGCAGGCTGCAAGAAGATCCCCTCGTTCTCGTACACAGCGGAGAGATTCGAGAGCAGGCCGAAGTGGGAGGAGGTCAAGGCGCCGCCAGAATGGATGATGGGATGATGGGATGAAGGGATGATGAGGAGGGGGAGGGGGAGGAGGAGGAGGAGGAGGATGAGGAGGAGGAGGAGGAGGAGGAGGAGGAGGAGGGGGAGGGGGAGGAGAAGGGGGAGGATGAGGAAGGAGGAAGAGGAGGACGAGGAGGAGCAGGCCAAGGACGACGAGGAGGAGGGGGAGGAGGAGGAGGATCAGGAGGAGGAGCAGGAGGAGCAGGCGGAGCAGGCGGAGCAGGAAGAGGATGAGGACGCGCAAGTGATCGATGTACGGGACGACGACCCCGATGACGACGGTGGCTTTGACGACGACGGCCTCGGTGACCGTTTCGATGAATTCGATGGCGATGGCTTCGATGGCGACGGCTTCGATGACGACCTCGGTGGCGACGATGGCTGCGATGTCTCTCTCAACCAGAGGCAGAGCTCAAACTGATGAAGTGCTTGAATATGGTGACTGGCACAAAGCGGATCTCGCAGAAGACGCTCATGGACCGCCGCCGCGCGTGAGCAGCGAGGAGGATGAGGACAAAGAGGATGGGGGATTAAGATGAAGAGATCCAAGGGGAGGGGATGATGAGCACGAGTGTGGAGGACGAGGACGAAGAGGAGGTGAGGAGGCGCGGCGGTGGGAGAACAGCTGAAAGAACAGGATGCCAGGACTCGGGAATGATCGTGTCGTCTTCGGCTGGTCGTCGAGGTCATCGTCGAACAGGTCATGCAAGCTGGCGTTGAGGCCGTCGTTCGAAGCCGTCGTCGTCGTCGTTGTCGTTGTTGGCGGCGGTGGTCGTCATCGGCGACGGCGTCGGCGATGGAATCGATGGCGACGGAAGAGAACGGGATAGAGAGAGAGAGGGAGAGAAAGAGAGAGATAGAGAGAGGGGGAGAGATATAGAGAGAGAGGTAGAGAAAAGAGAGAGGAAGAGAGAGAGAGAGAGAGAGAGAGAGAGAGAGAGAGAGGAGAGAGAGAGAGAGAGAGAGAGAGAGAGAGAGAGAGAGAGAGAGAGAGAGGAGAGAGAGAGAGAGAGAGAGAGAGAGAGAGAGAGAGAGAGAGAGAGAGAGAGAAGAGAGAGGAGAGAGAGAGAGAGAGAGAGAGAGAGAGAGAGAGAGAGAGAGAGAGAGAGAGAGAGAGAGAGAGAGAGAGAGAGAGAGAGAGAGAGAGAGAGAGAGAGAGAGAGAGAGGAGGAGAGGAGAGAGCGAGAGAGTGCTCCGAAGGAAGCCTGGCGCAAGGCCTTCTGGGAGGAGTACGAGACCGCGTGGAGGCTCGAACACGGGCGCAAGCCCCAGAAAAAGCGGATCGAGGGGATCATGTGCCCGCTTCTCTTCTATCGATGATTGCAAGGGTACGGGGGCATGAAGGACAAGGACGATGAGGAGGAGGAGGGGGCTGGGGAGGAGGGAGGAGGAGGAGTGGGAGAAGGATGAGGAGGAGGGCGAGGAGGAGGCGGATGATGAGGAGGAGGAGGAGGAGACGGGGGAGGAGGAGGAGGAGGAGGATGAGGAGGAGGATGAGGATGAGGACGACGACTGCCTCGACGATGGCATCGGCGACGGTCTCGACGACGACGGCGGCGACGATTTCGAAAAGGACGGCGACGATCTCGATGGCGGCCTCGAGGGCGCTTAATTTGACGATGATGTCGGCCGCGCCTCCCGCTCTACAGGTACTTGCAGTGCAGGACGGTTCGGATTCTCTACTCCCACTACTTGAAGGTGACGAAGGAGTGGCACGGGAGCGGGGTAGGATGAGGAGGTCTCGAGGAGCAGGAGGAGGAGCGGCATGATGCAGAGGGCCTGAAATACCGATGAGGAGGAGGATGAGGAGTAGACTGGTGAGGGGGAGAAGGGGGGCAGGAGGAGCAGCATGAAACAGCGATGGTGACGACAGGGATGACGAGGAGGTGCCACAGCAGATCGCGATGCGCATGACGAGGCGAGCCCAAGATCATGACCGAACGATTTGGGCAGCAGTAGGGTGAGGAGCGGGAAAAGGAGCAACAGCAAGAGCAGCAGAAAGATCGTCATCAGCAGCAGCAGGAGCAGCAGCAACAAACAACGCTGAGAGCGACATCAATGGGTCATGGGCAGGACGCGACCTCGAGCTCGACGGCGCCACCAGACAGCGACGACGACGATGACGTGTCGCCAGAGCAGCTGAACGCGTTCTTCCAGAACAGCGTGCTCGAGGAGCGAACTCTGACACGCGTCAGCCTATACTGCCCTCCCCTCGCTGGCTACTCAGGTGGGAGGAGGGGGAGGAGGAGGAGGAGGAGGAGGAGGAGGAGGAGGAGGAGGAGAAGGAGGAAGAGGAGCAGGAGGAGCAGGATGAGAAGGGGGAGGAGGAGGAGGAGGAGGAGGAGGAGGAGGGGGAGGAGGAGGAGCAGGAGCAGGAGGATGGGGAGGGGGAGGGTGAGGAGAAGCAGAAGGAGGGGAGGAGGGCATCATTGGCTGACGCAATCGTCGCATCCCTCCTCCGACTCCCGTGCTCCATTCCCCATCCTTGAATGCTGTCCTCCAGGACCTCACCGAGGAGGAATGGATGGCACTCGAGGACGCGGAGAAAGGCGTAATCGAGGGGAGGTTGCTCTTCTCCTCGGAGGAGGTTTTGCTCCGTCGAGCGGATCTCACTTCATCCTGTGTTCTCACTCTCCTTGTTCTCATCTTCATCCTCCTCCTTCTCGAGCCTCTTCCTCCTCCTCCTCCTCCTCCCCTCCTGTCCTCCTCGCGCCTCCTCCTCGAACCGTCTTCGACTCGCTCATCCTCCTTCGCTTGTCTCGACAGCAAGGGCGCTGCTCAGACTCCGAGTGCACGCTGGTCCATTCGCCCACCTTTCTCCGCGAAGCCTGGGGCATCGGGGACCCGCAGGAAACTAGACGAATCGATCCATGGAAATTCAAGGGGGCGCTCGAGGGCGAGATGAGGAGGAGGAGCAAGATAGGATGAAGAGAGAGGAGGAAGAGGGAGGAGGAGGAGGAGGAGGAGGAGGGGGAGGAGGAGGAGGAGGGGGAGGAGGAGGAGGAGGAGTAGTAAGATGATCTGCCCCCACCCTCCCCCACCCAACCACCAGAGGATACAGAAGAGGAAGACGATATGAAGAAGTGCGAATTGGATTGGGGGGAGTCTACCTTAATCGATAAAGCCACGGGAGACTACTTTGGTTTGCCGCCGTTGTCGCTCGCTGCCCCTCAGGGGGAGGGCGCCGCGGCGGCAGCGGCCGAGGAAGCGCAGGCGGTAGAGGCTGAGGAAGCGCAGGCGGCAGAGGCTGAGGAAGCCATCGCGGCGGTAGAGGCTGAGGAAGCCATGGCGGAAGAGGCTGTCATCGATGTGACGGATGACGAAGCCCAGGCGGTAGAGGCTGAGGACGCCATGGCGGTAGAGGCTGAGGAAGCGCAGGCGGTAGAGGCTGAGGAAGCAGTGGCGGTAGAGGCCGAGGAAGCCATGGCGGTAGAGGCTGAGGAAGCCGCGGAGGCTGAGGAAGCCATGGCGGTAGAGGCTCAGGAAGCCCAGGCGGTAGAGGCTGAGGACGCCATGGCGGTGGAGCCGACGCCGCCGCAGGCGGCTACGGCGAAGGCGGCTACGCCGAAGGCGGCGGCTGTGGCGAAGGCGGCTGCGGCGAAGGCGGCCACGCCGAAGGCGGAGGCTGCGACGCCGAAGGCGAAGGCGGCTGTGGCGAAGGCGGCTGCGGCGACGCCTGCGAAGGCGACGGCTGCGAAGGCGGCTGCGGCGGCGCCGACGCCTGCGAAGGCGGCTGCTGTGGCGAAGGCGGCTGTGGCGAAGGCGGCTGTGGCGAAGGCGGCTGCGGCTGCGCCGCCTGCGGCCGCGGCGAAGGCGGCTGCGCCGACGCCTGTGAAGGCGGCTGCGCCGAAGGCGGCTACGCCGACGCCTCGGCAGGCGGCATCGGCGACTCCGAAGGCGGCTCCTTCGGATCCGACGGCGTCGTCAGGCTCAGCGGCTGCGAGTTCGAGCGCTGCCTCGATGCTGTTCTACGACAGCCTGGTGGGCGGCGCAAAGAAGAAGAGCAGCAGGCGCCAGACGAAGCACAAGAAAACGAAGAAGGAGAAAACACATAAGCGAGCTGCGGCTGAAGTTCCAGCGGTGCCAGTGGTGCCGCCGCGCCCAGAGGTGCCGACGCCGTCGTGGCTCGACCCAGGGGCAGGCGAGAAGAAGAAGAATGAGAAACGATCACCAGCGGCGCCTAAGCAGACACCGAAGAAGGCAGCCAAGACCGAGTCCTCGGTCGACTCTCCTGAATCCGAGGTGCCTCCTGATGAGGGGAGTGCGGGGCCCGTTCCTAGCGAGGATCCTGCTGCAGAGGCCCCCGAGGACGCGGCTGGCAATGCTCCCGAGGCAGCGGCTGGAGAGGCTCCCGAGGAAGCGGCTGGCGAGACTCCCGAGGAAGCGGCTGGCGAGGCTGCAGGCGGAGAAGCTGCTGGCGAGGCTGGCGGGGAGACGGCTGGCGGGGAGACGGATGCCATGAAGGACGCGCCAGGCCACGCAAAGGGCTCCTTCACGCTGAACGGCAAGAAGTACGACGTGGGCTGCAAGAAGAGGACGGGCCACATGGGCATCTCGATCCGCATGGCGGGCGAGTCCAAGTGGAGCCAGATCACGCAGGTGCGCGACAACATGTGGGGGGATCGCTGCATGGACATCATGAAATGCGAGGGTGACAGGTCGGTGTGCACCGCGATGGCTGCGAACCACGTTGTGCACCAGGTATCGGTTGACAAGGCCACGTCGCGCTCCGAGGGCGAGGCTTCGAGGGGCAAGATTCTGGCGAAGATCGGGATTGGCAAAGGTGCCAATGGGCAGTCCGATCGATCGATCGAACCGCTAGCAGTCAGTGCTTGAGTGCTCTGAGGAGGGAGGAGGGAGAGGAGGAGGGGGAGTAGCTGGAGGGGGATCGCGCGCTATGGGAGGTGCCCAGAAGTCCTGAACACGTACATCTACATGCACACGTACATTGTGATATGTGTTGGTGGGAACGGGGGGGGGCATGCCGCGAGGCCGATGATACTGATGCGGACAAAGAGGTAAAACTGAGATGAGCATCAGTGTGCCGTCAGCAGCACTTCGAAGGATCCTCGTTGTCGGACAGTGGACGGAGGTGACGAGACGGAAGAGGAGCACGAGGCGGAGCTAGGAGAAGGATGAAGGGGATCTGAGGAGGAAAGGTAGGATGAAGATCCACGAGGAGGTTGCAAGAAGCGAGATCGGGAGGCGACGCGATGATGTTCGGCATCGCCTTCGTCTTGAGCATCGGCGTTTGCGCCGAGTACTCGAGGCGCGGCCCTGGGGAGGGCGTGGAAGCAGTTGACGGGAGGATGAGGGGAGGAGACGGATTCGGAGCAGGAGCAGGAGACGATCGACGAGGAGGAGGAGGGCGAGCAGGATGAGGATGAGGATGAGGAGGAGGAGGAGGAGCAGGAAGAGCTATCGCGATGCGCTTAAGTAAATGAGGAGGAGGACCCTCGAGGAGGAGGAGGGGGAGGAGGAGGAGGAGGAGGTGGAGGATGATGGCAACGAATATGATGCGGAGCGAATGAGGAAACTCGAGGAGGATGAAGGACGACCGAGGAGGATCTCGACTTGACCCCGCCCAGCGCTGCAAGGGGAGAGGGGGGGCGAGCTGCCCGCGCGACCGCATGCACCTGGGCGGCGGCAACCCCGAGGGGGGAGATATAGCGCGCGTGGCAAGGGGGTGGGCCGCAGAGAGTTGGTCGGGGAGGGCTTCAGGAGAGGATGACGTTGAGGTGAGGCCGAGGATGAGGATGAAAAGGAGGGGCCTCGGATCGATATGCGCGTGAGTCGAACGAGCACGCACCGCTAAAGCTAGAACTCGATGAACACGGTGATATGATAGAATAGCAGATCTGAGATAGGATCGAGGATGAGGACGGGATAGGAGGTGGATGGGAGGAGGATGAGGCAGATCGGAACGATGATGAGAATGGGATCCACGAAGATCCAACATAAGGCCTATGGGGCTCCTCAAGGGGGTCCTCACCGATCCCTCTCATACTCGATCTTCCTACTCCTCGGCCCTGCTCCTCCTCGATCCTACTCCTCCTGCTCCTCGATCCTGCTCCTGCTCCTGGATCCTACTCCTCGATCCTCCTCCTCCTCCTCCTCCTCCTCCTCCTCCTCCATATCTCCTCCGCGCCTGCGCCTGCGCGTGAACACGCAGGCTTTTCAGGTTCTCGAGCGCTGGGGCCCTCCCGCACTTGACGACCGCAGACCGTGCGGTATACCGTGCAGCAGGCGAATAGGGATGCACGGGGAAAAGGGCGTGGTCACGTGAGTCAGCGTTAAAGCATGCGGGCTTCAGGCGTGGTGGCTAAGATGAGCCAGGGGAGGAGAGGACAGGAATGATGAGGAAGAGGATGAGGAGGATAGGAGGAGGATGAGGAGGATAGGAAGATAGGATGGTGAGGAGGATGAGGAGGATGGCGAGGATGCTTAGAAGGATATGATATGATGATGATGATGATGATGATGATGGTGATGAAAATGATGATGATAATGATGATGATGATGATGATGACGATGATGATGATGATGGTGATTGTGATGGTGATGGTGATGGTGAGGATGATGATGATGATGATAATGAAGATGATGAGGAGAATGAGGATGATGAGGAGAATGGGGATGAGGATGTTGAGGGGGATGGGGGGGATGAAGATATCATGAGTCGAGGCGCCCCCCCCCCGTCTCCCCGCCGCTGGCGGCAGGTGCACGTCGTGACCGCCGCGGCGGGAACCCCGAACAGAACGACATCGCGGCAAGAAGGCGGACCAATACACGCGACACTGCAAGCAAGCATCGGGCTCTTGGGCGCTGCAGGCCTATGGCTGCGGCCCAGGTTGGTGCCACGGTTTCTCGGGTTATGGTTATGGGTATGGTTTTGGTGATGGATTCGTGGTTGGTATATGACTTGGTATGGTGCGGCATGGTTTGGCATGGTTTGGCATGGTTTGGCATGGTTTAGCATGGTTTGAATTGGTTTGCATGGTTTGGCATGGTTTGCATGGTTTGAATGGTTTGTATGGTTTGGTATGGTTTGGCATGGTTTGGCATGGTTTGAACGGTTTGCATGGAATGATGGTATGATGGAATGATGGTTTGCATGGTTTGGTATGGTTTGGCATGGTTTAGCATGGTTTGAATGGAATGATGGAAAGATGGAATAATGGTTTGCATGGTTTGGCATGGTTTGACATGGTTTGAATGGAATGATGGATTGATGGAATGATGTAATGATATGGTTTGGCATGGTTTAACATGGTTTGAATGGAATGATGGAATGATGGGATGATGGAATGATGGAATGATGGTTTGGCATGGTTTGACATGGTTTGAATGGAATGATGGAAAGATGGAATGATGGTTTTGGCATGGTTTAACATGGTTTGAATGGAATGATGGAAAGATGGAATGATGGTTTGCATGGTTTGGCATGGTTGGACATGGTTTGGCATGGTTTCATGGTTTGTATGGAATGATGGAATGATGGAATGATGGTTTGGCATGGTTTGGCATGGTTTGCATGGTTTGCATGGAATGATGGAATGATGGTTTGCATGGTTTGGCATGGTTTGGCATGGTTTGCATGGTTTGGCATGGTTTGTCATGGTTTGGCATGGTTTGCACGGTTTGGATGTTTTCCGCATGCGCAAGTACCCCCCCCCCCCTAGACGCACGTGCGCGCGCGCTAAGTACCCCCCCCCCATATCGCGCGTGCCCTAAGTACCCCCCCCCCATATCGCACCCCCACCCCCCCCCCCCCCCCCTCCCGCACGTGCGCGCGTGCGCTAAGTACCCCCCCCCCCCCCCCCCCCCCCCCCCCACGCAGTGCCCTATATAGATATAGATACCCCCCCCCCCCGTGCCGCGGTGCATGCGCGCATGTAAGAAATCAGGGGGGCGCCTCGATGCTGTGCAGTACTGGTGTTGTGCCGCGCGCGGCTTTCGCAGCAGGCGAATAGGGCGTGGTCGCGTGTCTCTGTATATATATATATATATGGACAACCAATAACAAATAGGAGGAGGACAGTGTAGCGGGCAGCAGGGTGGGTGGATATCGGAGACGATGGAACAATGAGGAGGATGGGGTAGCACGGATGGCGGACCGATGCAGGGCCCTATCTTGCAACATGCACATGCTTGGATAGCGCATGCGAATCGTTGTGCAGCGTTGCTGGTCGATCGGTCTCCTCATATATATGGTCACTCGATCTGCGTGCGTGTCTCTGATGTATATGGAATGTAGATGCATGCGAAACCTTACTCGAGGAGGGGGGGCGACGCCACCGAAAGGCTCGAAGAAAGCCACGAAGAAGGACAAGAGCGCCGCGCAGGGCGGCGCCAGGACGGATGAGGAGAAAGTGGCTCGCAAAGCAAACTCAGAGCACGAAAACGCTTTGAACCGTCTTCGCCAGGCAATGAAGCGTGAACGCCCCGAGCTTCGGAAGGACTACAAACACGCGGGGTGGGAGAAGAAGAAGAGGTGGAAAGAGATTTGGGAAACCACGGGCTCGTTCGACTCGATCCAAGAGCGTAAGTCCGAGACCCAGTCAAATACGGCCCGCGAGGACACTGTGGGAAACTGGTTCCCGGGGAAAAATCACCCGGTGTGTAGGCCATGCCCTGGCCATATTTTGCGCCCTCCCCCCTCCTCTCCCCGTTGACATCATGCGTGAATTGTTGATTCAATGTCTATGTCTTTTTCGCTAGGTTTACTTGCGATGAGCAGCTCGCGGATTGCAGGTGGACGGTGGAGAACGCGCGCACAAAGTACGGGATACGGCCGCGACTTGTCTTTTTTTTTTTTTGCGTGGGAGTAAGAGGAGGAGGAGTAGGATGAGGAGGAGGGGGATGAGGAAGAGGATGTGGACGGTGATGATGATGATGCTGATGATGATGACGATGATGATGATGATGATGATGATGATGATGATGACGATGATGATTAGGAGGATTAGGAGGAGGAGGAGGAGGAGGAATGCCAGGAGGAAGTGGATGAGGAGGACGAGGATCATGGGGGTTGCAGCAGAGGAGGGCGCAGGATCGGCAGCGAGAAAAAGGACGCGGAACGATGGAAGGATGATGGTTGTGATATATCCTTCGCCCCCATCCCCCCTTCGCTCGCAGTGCCAAGCATCGCTGCGACGGCATCGTGCACTTCTGCAATAAGATGCCAAAGCAGTTCATCAAGGTGGGATTGGGGTTGCGCAGCCAGGGATGATGGTGAGTATGAGGAGGAGGAGGAGGAGGAGGAGGAGGAGGAGGAGGAGGTTGAGGAGGATGAGGAGAATGATGAGGATGGGATGACATAGGTACAGGATGAGGAGTATCAGGCCTGGAGGATGGATGGGGAGCAGCAGGATGATATCATGACAGAATGCGAGGGTGACGAGGATGGGAGGCAACATGAGGAGGGTGAGGAGGATGAGGAGGATGAGAGGATGAGAAAGATCATGATTGGGATCAGGACGATGGAAATGAGGAGGGTGATGAGGAAGATGATGAGGATGAGAATGATGAGGAGCATGGGGATAATGATGAGGAGTAGCACCAGAATCAGCAGCGGCCGCATGGGGAGGAACACCCGCAGCACAAGGAGCTCTTGTACAAGAAGTTGGCGGTGTCGGAGCTTGCTCGCATGGACCGCTGCTGCATTCTCACCTCCAGATCCTTCCTCATCATATTCCTCCTCCTCCTCCTCCTCCTCCTCCTCTCACCCCCACCCTCCCTGCTCCTCCTCCTCCTCCCCCTCCTCCTCCATCCTCCCTCCTCATCTTCCTCTTCCTCCTCTTCTCATCCTCTTCCGAGCGCAACGGTTGACGATCGATGGCAGGTTAGACGATGCTAACCAGGCAAAGGATGACGAGGGTAACGACAAGGATGGTGACGACGATGGCAGCGGCCGAATACGTTTGGGACGATGGCGACGCTGTCAAAGACGATGGTAACGACGATAGTGACGGTGACGGCCCAGTGATCGCACTCAGGAGAACCTGACGGCGCGGACCGCGGAGCTCGAGACGGACAAGAGGGCGATTCCCCAGCAGGCGGCCAAGGAGCGGCGGGCGCAGGGGTAGAGTTCAGCCAGCGTGTGGAGGAGAGAGATGGGAACAGGAGGCTGGTGAAGGAAGAGGATGAGCAAGATGAGGATGCTGCTCAGGATGATGATACGGGTGAATGTGACGATGTTGATCATCGCGAAGATGAGGGGGACGATGAGGAGGAGAGACGATGAGACGATAGCGAGGATGAGGACGATGAGGTGGAGGACGACGACGATGAGAGGGTGGCCGATGATCTTGAAGCTGATGAGGGCGAGGACGATGACGAGGCTGAGGACGATGAGAAAACGGGAGGGAAGGACGAGCACAAGGGCGACGACTCCTCGTACTACAGCTACTCCGACAGCGAGGACTACCCCGTGGGAGCTGCCAGCCCTTTTGATCCTGGCCTCCAAATCCTTATCTCCTCCTCCACCTCCCCCTCCTCCTCCTTCTCCAGCTGCCTCTCCTCCTGCTCCTCGTGCTCCTCGTCCTGCTCCTCCTCCTCCTGCTGCTGCTGCTGCTGCTCCCCCTCCTCCTCCTGCTCCTCATCGTTCCTATTCGAGAATCCTTCGAAGGCCGATTTCGAACGCCGCGCGAGCTTGAGGAGGCAAGTCTCGAGAATTACGAAGGTCAGGACGTTTCCGTTAAGCTTAAATTGTAACAAGGTATATTCTGGTGGGTCAGGTCACCTTAGGGCCACTTCCCCTCTTACTGCTCCTCCTCCTCCTCATCCTCATCCTTTTCCACCTCCTTGCCTCCTCCTCCTCCTCCTCCTCCTCGCCCTTCTCTTCCCGTCCTCCGCCTCCTCCTCCTCCTCCTCCTCCTCCTCGGTCTTCTTCCCCATCTGGGGTTCCGATCCCCTCAGGGCTCTCCTTCCTCGGGGCACCGTGTGACCCCAGAGGATGCGGGGGATGGGCCGAGCTCGTCGGCGGCGGCCCTCGATCCTGCGATTGCGAAGCTGCTTGGAGACGCCAGTGAGATGAAGAGTAACTTCGCTGAGCTGTCGGTGGCAGGGGGTGTCACCGACGACCCCCCTCGAGGAGATGGAGGGCGATGAGGAGGAGGTGGAGCAGGGGGGGAGATGGAAGATCGGGAGAAGGAGGAGGCGGAGATGGAGGAGGGAGATGGAGGAGGGGGAGGAGGAGGAGGATGAGGAGGAGAGAGGTAGACACCATCGAAGAGGCGGATGCGAACCCATGGAGCAAGCCGCGGGCGCCTCAGATCAAGGCCACGCTCTTGGCCTTGGACAACGCGTTCGTAGAGATCACGAAGCAGATTTCGCGCAAGTCACAGGAGGAGAAGCATTGAGAGGAATGACGATGAGAAGGATGAGGATCACGAGGGTGGCGGGGGGCGAACATATGTAAGATGAAGAAGATGGAAACCAGCAGGATGCCCCTCCGTAATTCCCCCTCCACCATCTTCCTCCATAGTCCTCCCCCGCTTAGTCCTCCTACGCTCCTCCCTTCCTCCTCCCCTCCCCTCCTCCTCCTCATCCTCCTCCTCCCCCTCCTCCTCATTCATCTCCTCCTGCCCCCATGCTCCCCCGACCTATATAGGTCGGGGGACGTCGAGGCGGCCAAGGCGGACATCGAAGAGGCGGGCCTGTGCGTTCGAACCGATCGAGAGGAGAAGAGGGGGAACGCACGGGACAGGAGGAAGTGGAGGGGGGCCCTGAATTAGTCGAGGGATGAGTCCGTTCGAGGCCAAGGCGCTCTGGGCCGCCCTCGCGCCAATGAAGGCCTCGTACGCGTCGGCGGCGGCGGCCTTGAGCGCCATTGAGAAGAAGTGAGGCCGCTCTCGAGCGCCTCTGAGATCGAGGGAGGAGGATGGGGAAGAAGAAGGTGATGAGGATGAGGGGGAGGAGGAATACGAGGAGGAGGTAGAGGAGGAGGATGCGGAGGAAGAGGAGGATGAGGATGATGAGGGGGATGAGGATGAGGAGGGGGAGGAGGAAGAGGAGGAGGAGGATGAGGCGGAGGAGGAGGGGGAGGATGAGCGGCAAGTGCGGCCAGCGACCCGCGCAACGGTGCCGCGGCATCGATCTCTGATGATTGTTTTGCGTGGTGGCTCGACCGCACGTTCGGAAAGGGAGCTCCTTCGAACCATCCTGATTTCTACAGTCGAAGTTAAGACGAATTCGACGCCTTGGCCCCACCTCGGCGGTGTTTTCTTTCCCCTTGGGCCGCCAAAAACATTCCAGGAAAACCGAAACCCTGGGACGCGTGATCTGGAAAAGGTCCCGCGTCCGAATCCTGGTGAGCCAAGGCGTCGGATCCTCCAGCTGGTCATTCCGTTGGATGTCTGGATTGTCTCAGTTGCCAGGTCGGTGGATGAGCTGGCAGTTCTCGCGTTGGCGAGACGGCCCCTTCGATGCATACTCCCTTCAGCAGCAACAGCAGCATGCAAGATAAGCAGCATCAGCAACGACAACAGCTGCAACATCAACAAGAACACGATCAGCAGCAAACATAACAGCAGATGACAACGACAATGCCACGCGATCAGCAGCACGGGCAACAACAGAGCAACACCGCCGCAATCGGCAGCAACGGCAATACCACTAACAACAGTAATGACGGCAGCAACAGCATCAGCATTCATTTCAGGACGGTTTGCATGAGTTGGTGCGCGAGCCATTGGATGCGTATATCCCAAACCCTCGAAGCCCACTCACTCCGTCGACATTTGGTCAGGCCCGAGTTTTCTCTCAATTGGCTGGCTCGAAGCTCCCGCTCATTCGTCATAATGGCGTTCAGGGCCGCTGGTGCGCAGTTGGTGGTGGAGGATACGCGGACTGCCGCGGAGACTGAAGTCCGCTCGTTGTTCGACGAGGGAGCGGGTCTTCGAGCCCGCATCTTGGGCCTGTATAGACGGGGAGAGATGTCGGCGGCCGCTGTCTGTACTTTAAGCTATCATGCCTGCAATGCTGGGGCGAGAGGCGCGGGGGGCCTCGTACTGCACCCGTCCTCGACGCATGCAGCTGAACATCTGCGAGCTGCTGCGTCTGCTCGTTCACAACAGAGTTTTTATTGGTTCGATTTGCCGATGTGGGTTGGGGACGCGAACTCACGGGAGCTCATTCGGTTTCCGATAAATTTGCCTCACGATCAGTTTTCGAGAGCGTTCTCTGGTTCACCAGCTGACTGGGACCCGAGCCCAAGGGGCCAACGTGCAGGTTGGCGTGCGCGCGCGCGTGTGCGACACAGGGCGGGGGGAGGGATATGGGGGAGAAGAGGAGGGGGGGAGCCACGCGCACTCACATCAACGCGCATGTTGGCCCCTATGCTTCAATTATGAT